GCAGGGTTGGGCTCTGGCTGGGAGTCCACTCAGGGAGCGCGGGCGGGGAACGCGCGCGCGCGCGCGCGCCCGCGCTCGGACAGTCCGCGGTGGCCACTGGCCCTCTCTTCCCGCCTCATACCACGATCCTGTTCAGGCCTCTAGGCCTTTCTCGCCCGCCTCCCTCGCCGGCCTTCAGGTAGGAGGCGGCGCGCACCTGGATCGGGAGCAGAATCGCGGTCTAGCTAGGCGCCGGGTGTGGGCGTGCGGGGCGGGAGAGGAGCGCCCCCAAGTGGGCGCAGATACGAGGGGCAGCCGACGCTCGGGGTCAGGCTCCGTGTCTGGACTGGCCAGGCCGAAGGGCTACTGGTAGAGTGAGTGCACTGCAGGGGCGGGGCCTACCCCCAGGGCAGGCGCACGTGGCCCCGCGGGGAGTGGGCTCCGCTGGGTGTCTGGACTGGTGACGTGCTGCGGAGCCGGGGCTCCGAAGGTTTCGGAGCCCCTTTTCTCCTGATCGCGGTCGTGAGGATCGAGCTTATTCTCCGACTCTTGCTCGCCTTTGGAAGTATCTGCCTTACAGCGTGTATTTATTCATTAGTTTATTCAGGATAGGTCATTAAACCAGTGCGAAATAACTGGCGTTGCGCGGGGCGCTGAGGATTGCGGTGGTGAGCCAAATAGAAGAAGCCCGCCCTGATGCCCCTTACCCTGGCGTGCGTTGCAATTATCAAGTCCAAGGCGTCCCACGCAAGCCGGTGTTCCTAATACTGTATTTCTCTTTGCATCCGTACTTTTTAATGTCTTTGCCCCTTTGCTGCATACTTTATCCACATGCACCTGCGTATCTTTGCCTTGAATATAGACACAAATCCTGTGGCTTGCGGGGGATTTTCGAGGGTGATTTTGACCCTAATTGAGTTTTTGTCCCGAGCATAGAGTTATGTCTACATACACACAGGCGAACGTGCACACACGTAGTCACAGATGTGAAAGTAAATGTGCAGTTTGCTAAGTGTCAGAGAGAGGGGAGCTGTGAAAATGAAGTGCACGTCCCAGGCGGACATCGAGAAAGTGAAGACCCAAAGAATGAACCCTGGCAGTTAACTTGGCGGAGGGCAAGCAGATCCATTCAAGTCAAGCAAAAGCGCCGACCAGAGGAGGCCCCAAGCAGAAGCAGGCGGGGATGCGGGGCTTCTGGCGCCCTGGTCACCGCTATGCGACCTTGCACCTGGCGTGCTCAGCCAGGCCGGTGCAGCCCTACCGCCTGCTGCCATCCGGCGCAAGCGTTGAGAACTAGAGAGATGCCTGGCGCGGACACTTCTTGGCCTCTGGGTTTGCCACTGGCGGGGTCTGCCGCCCCCTAGGGTCCGCTGTCCCCTAAGCTGAGAAACCTGCCTTGGAATCACCTACAGCCACGCCTTTCTGTTTCTTGATCTCCTTTGTTTCTTTGAGACTTGAATACCTATTTTAAAGAATTACCTGTAGGAAACTCCATCTCCGACCCCCACCTCCGTTCTGAGGCCAGCCAAGATCACTGGGCTGTCCATGAGAAAAGGAAGGGGTGGAGGAAGAGACAGCACTTTCACTTTAAATTAAAGATAATGCCAAAATATTTTTTCAACTCAAATCTTTTTGAGACATCCCCAGAAAGCCTTGGCAGCTGTGATTACACCGGATGTGAAAGCACCGGCTAATTTAAGAAATGAGAGCGGAATAATGAGACTGCATCCAGTACCCGTCAGACTGGCAGCTTTGACCAGGGGAGGGACCTGGCAAAACACGGCGTAGAACCAACCCCATACTCTCAGCACCCTGGTGCTGCATTGGCAGATCTTCCCCAAATTTTGACTGGGTGCCTCCTGAATGGCACCCTGTGGGGTTGCAATCCAGAGCGGGATGGGGGTGTGGGCAGCCTGTCCTCACAGAGCTCAGAAGCAGGACTAAGATAACCTAGAGGGAGGTGGTGGTCAGCCGCTTCCTCCTTCCTCCATGGCGAGGCTGGGGGCCAGTGCCCAAGCCTGTACTGCCATCAGTATGCCACTGATTCTCCATCTTGTATTTTCAGCCTCATCTTGTCTGTGGTCTAGACCTGTCATTCAAAGGGTCTGCTAGGCCACTTGGCTTATCATCCTGCAGGCATGTGTAACGGATTCATACTTTGTCTCTCTCTCCCCTTGCCTCCCAGCGTTAGCTCCTTCTCTCCTTTTCTATTCCAGTGGTAACAATTGCACCCACGTGGGTGTCAAAACTTTAGGGACCCCCAGATCTAATCTGCCTCCATTTCTGTGTGCTATTGTTAGAGCCATTCACATAAGGCTGCATCATCTCTAGCCCGGGCAACTGCCAGAGCCTCCTAATTTATCATTCAGGGATCACCTCCTGGCTCTGCCATATACGATTTATTCTTTCGTTTGATGACTATCTGGTGAGTGCCCTGAGATGTGTAATCACCTCTCTCTCATGTAAGCGAGATCTCAGAATGGTGACTTCTCTGGCTTTCCCTATTCCTCTTCCACACAGTATGCTTCAAAAATAAAATAATGAGTATTAATTTAATGTTAATAGATATGTGCATTCCCGAATCATGAGGATTAAATGAGATCATGCATATGAGGAAGAAAATCCATCCGAAATCTCAAAAGCAGTCATGTTTATTTTTAGTATCATCAGGTTGTTAGAGTCAGGATTCTTTTATCTCCAAGTGACAAAACCAATTCAAACTGGCTTAAGGTCTTTATTTAGGGATGCAAAAAGCCTACAGACAGGTCTTACCATTTAAGGTAAGGCTGAATCCATCAGTCAGGGTAACCAGGATCTGTTTTTCAGTTTAGACTTTATTTTCAGACAAGCCATTTCCATATGACAGCCCCTTAGAAAAGACCACCAACTTAGACGTAGTACGAAAAGGGAGCCCTATGTCTTTAATATTTGCCACAAAAATCCCAGGTCTGAGTAAGGTGAGTCTCGTGCCTCTTTCTGAACATGGAGAATGGGCTGTACAGATGACTAATCTTGGATTCAGGTGCCTTTCCCTGGACAAGGGTAGAGGTTAGCCTCATGTGGTCTAGAATAGAGGGGTTCTACAAAGGAAATTTAGGGCAGGGATGCCGGGTAGATAGAAACACAGATGTCTAGTTCAGTCCCTCTCAAAGAGTCAGCTGCAAAAGATGTCACAAAAAAATGGTGAAGACCGATTCAATGGTCAAAACAATAGGGGTTTGTACTGTTCCTGTTATCTGAGGTTTAGCTTTGAAGTCTAAATGCACCACAAAGAGCCAGGTAAGTACAAGCAAATAATTGTAACAGTCTATATAAAGATTTCTTTGGGAGCCAGGCAGTTGCGTGCTGCTTAAAGCAGCTAGATCCCACACGGCTGACTGCACAGTTCGAGTCCTAGACCCCCTTGAGGGCTTCTGATCTGGACCTGGGGACTTGAAAAATGTAGGTGCTATGTACGTGTACCCAAACTCTTGAAAGGGATTGAACATGGCTAGCCCCATGGGAAGAGAGGCACTTTCTCACTTTCCTACTGTCTCTTTCTCTCTTTCCTCTAGAGACCACACAGGCTCTGTAGCAAATTAAAAAAAAAAAAAAAAAGTTGGCACTATTCTATTGGAAGTCATCTTTCTTCATTTTTTAAAAAATTCTTAGAAAGGTGAAGGTCTCGCTTTTTTGATGCTAGGTACCTGAAGTTCCTCGTTACTCATCTATGAACGACAATGAATGAAAATGTGAGAGAGCTAGTCTGAAAAATGAAAGGATTGAATAAGGTTGTTTCCAAAATGTGAGACTTGAGGATTTAATTTGCTAAGGCTTTTCAGGTGTTAAAATATCGGTAAGGTATTATAAAACCCTTCCTCTGAACTTTTAAAGTAGTGTATTATAGAGATTTAGGGGACTGTGAGATTGCAAATAATGACTTTATACTGTTACTGTCATATTCTTCACCTACTCCTTTAAATGCAGCGTTATATTTTGGTGAAGTCAAAGGTTTATTTCCTCTTGCTGCATGCTGAATTTCCCTCCACAGTGCATTTTGAAAACGGAATATAACAGTAATATTGATAGATGCTATATTCATGGCAATCCTACCCACCCCTCCACATACCCTCAAATAAACAGCCCTCCATTGTTTGAATGAGAGATCATTTTCAGGAAAGGGAGACTATTTACTCACAGGATATAAAATTAACTCATCCTTTCCCCTCACCCGACTTTCTTTAGTTCTTTCCTGAGAGAGAAAGAGAGACAGAGAGAGGCTGAGAGAAGCAATTTTCATGCCATAATCCATCTCCAGCCTCAGTGTGCACAGGGAATCCTCAGGGCACACACTCAGGATCTTCTTTTGTGAGGCCAGCATCGGTGAGCATCGCATTACCACTGCACCTGCAGCTGGCCAGGTTTATCAAATCAAAATGGATTCTTTAACATTCACACACATCAAACAGGGTCTCATCTCTTTATAGTCTTGGTTCAAAGGCCCAGACAATACGATTCTTTAGTATTTAGTCTATTGCTCATAAAGCAAAAAAGAAAAAGCTACTTTGTTCCAAACAGTGTTAAATTTAGGATTCTAAAGGTTCAAGCTTATTTCAAGTTAGTGCCCAGATCTAGACTATAAAATATGGGAATGATTCTAAGTTGTATAAAGTATAAGATAATATTTTAACTTTCACCAAAACCTCAGATTTTTGGGTTATGTCTTTTTTTTTTCTCTACTTAGACTCATTTTAAATGCAACGTTTTTGCTGCTTAAGGTAAAAAAGGTTACATTTTCAAATTAACTGTGTAATTGGGCACTTTCATAGGAACACCAGGCTTGGGGGTAACATTTTGATTCTTTAAAAAAATGTTTTTGATATTAAAAACACTAAATGATACATTTTAAATGTCTCTAGTTCTTGTTGTAATACCAAATTAGGTGTTTTCTTAGCCTGTGTTTAGAAGGAGAGACGATACATCTTCTAAATTAAGAGATGCTGGCACCCTTTTAAAACGATGCCTGAATCTGCTGTGGTATGTGCTGGTAGGAATTTCGTATGAAGCTGTAATTCAAGTAGATGACATTAAGGTCAAAGGGAAAAAAAAGAAAAAAAGAAAATAATGTAATCCTACAGAGCTGCTCTTTGAGAGAAAAACCACAAAGGTAACATCAAACACAAGCTGGAATATTTCCAAGAGGTAATTATCTTTGTGCTGTTTGGGGTGGTTGATTATGGGGACAAACCAAGGTTTAGCCAGTTCAGCAAACATTTATGGAGTGCCTGCAGTGTGCCAGACACTGTTTCAGGACCTGTGCCTACCGCCAAGATGAACCACACTCCAGGACTTCATGGTTTGCGGTGGTCAGAGATGTCTAACTGAAGAGCCTCTGTTTAAGACTGCTTATACTAAGAAGGCTTCGCCAAAGTGATGCCTTTGATTATTCTTTGTATTTGGGCACATTTATCCTATAATCAGAAAATATACAGAACATACACACACACATAAGATGAATAGGTTAGAGAATATTGGAACAAATATATTCAGGTATATATACCTGACATTGATCACAGAAATGCTAAGTGCTGTCATTGCCTGTGGGTGGCTAGATGAACATTTTGGAGAAGTTGTCACCCATTTGAATAGAGAGTTCAGGCAAATTTCCTGGATTTTGTGTTCATTAGCAATTGTATAAAGACCTCCCACAGTTTAGACATCTCTCAGAAAGAGGTCTGAGAGGAAAGTTTCCTAACCAGAGGATTTGTGGACCCATGGACTTCTCTGTTACCAGGAGAGTGAAAAAAGGAGTTTATATAGAGCTCAAAGGGAAGAAACTACAGAAATATAAAGTGTGCAAAAGTCTTTTTAAAATTTCTTTATTAAAAATTGTTTTTATTTATTTCTTCAGAGAGAGATACAGGGAGGTAGACAGAAAGACAGGCACCCCCAACAGGGTCTTCATGCCGTGATCCACCCCCAGCCTCAACCAGCCTGGATCATAGGCACATATGCACAGGTGTACAGGGAGCCCACAAGATGTGAACCTGGGACCTTCCCTTGCGGGTCCAGTTGCATTATCACTGTGTCCCCTGTATTTAAACAAAATGTGGGGAAATCCTCACATTATCTTTTCTAGTAAACATCTTAGAAATTAGGTCAGAAGAGCACGCATGGTTTTTCTGCCCCATCAGGCCTCAGTGACAGATACGGGAACAGTCAAGTTCTCTGGCATGTGCCATTGGCTCCACTGAGGCACCATCTGCCTTCTCTTCTCTGTTCTTGGACCTGAAAGCTGACTCCCTTCAACTAGCTTCTTATTAGGTTTGGAAGGCAGGAGCAGGAACTTATGGAGAGAGAGGAGCGTGCGGACAGGTATTCCTTTCTGCTCTGTCCTCCCTTCAGTGCAGGTGTGTGAAGAAATGACCCCAAGGAGCCAGCAGGTGGCATAGTGGTTAAGAGGTTGGACTTCCACAGGGTCAACCACAATTTGAGTCGTGGTCCTGGCAGCTTGAA